CAGTGAAATATATTACACAGACTCAAGTGCCTTCAAAAGAGAAAAAGACTCTAACTTCAGTGTTCTAACATATGTAATTTTAAATTTTCTAGCCTTAAGTTTCTTATTGTTTTTAATATACGTGTTAAGAAAAAAATGTATGCCTCACTTCCAAAATTATCGTAAAAACATTAAAATGATATTACCAATAATTTTGCTCTTAGGGAGGGAGGAGTTATGGATTCACCCCGTCCCTCTGTTTTAGACTAGTATATTAAAAAATATTATATTGTATTGTTTAGGCTACATCAGCATTTTATATAAGATTCCTAGTACTTAGTTGATGAGTCGAACGTTTGCGTACGAACAGGCTCTTTAAAATTATTCATTACTAAAGCCACCTCCAAATCGGTGAGACGTATTAATTTAGTTGTAGTTTAGTTTTTAAAAACTCCTTTCGACGTTCCCGAAATTTGACTATCTTTAAAAGCGAAAGCGCCTCTCTAGGCGATAGAGAACGTGCGGAACAAACATTAGGTTTAATATGGAACAAGCAAGACACGTTGAGTTTTACCGTGAGTTTTCGGAACACACGACCGGAAGTAATCGATGGTTTACGACCTCCCATAAAAAGGGAAGTGACAAGTGTTGTCAAGTTATGTCGACGCGTCGGGACTTCCTTCGCCCGTAACGTTACAAGGTAAGTCACTTATTCAAAAGACGTGGCGATTGGGCATTTCATGGGACAATCAGATCCCACAAGAATTAAATGCGCTATGGAGAAAGTTCATCGCTGGCAACCTTAACGAAGGACAGTTGCACACGTTGACGGACGCTAGTAAGAAAGCATACGCCGCCGCGGTGCACTATGTCACCAAAGGCGATGATGAAGAAAGGCAGGTAACGTTGCTAGCCGCAAAGGCAAGAGTGGCACCTTTAAAGCCTATTTCTGTTTCGAGGCTTAAGTTGCAGACGGCCTTATTGGACTCGCGGTTATCTGCAGCCATTGAAAAAGATAGCAGGTTAAAAATTTCTAATTGATTTTTCTGGATGGATTCACGCACAGTTTTAGCTTGGATCAAGTCAGATCCTCGAACGTTTAAGCCATTTGTGGCACACGGGTTAGCTGAGATTGAAGATCATAGCAGACAGTGTGAATGGCGTTGGGTTCCAACGTCGGATAATGTGGCAGACGACGCCACTAGAAGCCTTCTTTCCACCTTCGATGAGAATCATTGTTGGTTTCAAGGACCAGATTTCCTCCGGTCAAGTCCTGATTCATGGCCTACACAAGTAGACATGAAAGAATACATAGAAACGGGTGAACAAAAATCGCCGAAAAGGGTAAATACGTTGATAAGAAATGAGTCGTGGAGTTTACCCGACTACGGATAATTCAGTAATTTCGAAAGATTTCTTAGGACTACGACAAGAATGTTAAAAGCCATAAAAAATTCAAGTTTTTAATTTCCCACAAATTAACTGATTTGAAAAGGTTAATTCTGTGTTCTAAAGATATTTCGACCAAGTCGGTTAAAGGACCCGACAACGTTTTGGAAATAGCTCTTTTAAGGAAGGCTGAAATTCTTATATGGAAGTTCGTTCAAGACGAATGTTTTCATTCGGAAATATGCTGTTTACAGATGATGGGAAAAAACGTTGAAAAGAGTTTACGTTTAAGCAAATTGACTTTTGAAATAGAAGATAACCTCTTTCGATTGAATGGTCATTTACCATTCAAGTCTAATTTATCGGAAGAAAGTAGAAAGCTTGTCACTTTAGACGGTAAACACGACATAGTGTAGATAATGATTAAAGGAGTTCATCATCATTTTGGTCACGCTGATCATCAAACGGTGACGAACGAGGTGAACCAAAAGTTTTATATTCTGAATTTACGTAATACAGTTTGTAATGTTACGCGTAACTGTCAATGGTGAAAGACCTATAAATCTAGGCCACAATCTGTGCCGCAAGGCAATCTTCCTTGAGAAAGAATAGCTCATCATGAGCCATCTTTCACATGCTCGGACGTAGATTATTTCGGCCCCATGAGTGTATCCGTGGGAAGGAGACATGAGAAACGGTGGGGAGTTCTGTTCACTTGTTTAACTACCATAGTACATCCGGAATCAGCAGCGTCATTGACACCATCGTCAATGTTAATGGCGTTAAGGCGATTTATCGCCAGAGTACAGTTTTCGGATGATGCGCGTCTATACATAGGTACCTGTTACTGAGACTGAGACATGAGAAACGGTGGGGAGTTCTGTTCACTTGTTTAACTACCATAGTACATCCGGAATTAGCAGCGTCATTGACACCATCGTCAATGTTAATGGCGTTAAGGCGATTTATCGCCAGAGTACAGTTTTCGGATGATGCGCGTCTGATACATACCTGTTACTCGTTGCTCTGTAAACTTAATCTTAAAACAGTGGTAAAAAGTGATCGTTCAGTGATATAAAAACATTCTTAATAAGTTTAGAAGAAAATCTACATTTTGGCCAAATTTGTTTTCAAAAACTCGAGTGGAATAAAGAGATATCAGTGTTTATAATTTAAAATAATTCGTTAACGTATAGTTGAGTGAAGCGAGCTCGCCAACGTACATGAGTCATCGTTGCTCTGCAGTGCCGCATTCAAACGTGCAAGTGAACTTGCTTCGTGCTACGTTTAATAACAAGTATAGTACAACTTATACCAAATAAAAATATTATGTCGCAAACTAAATCTAAGTTTGGGTGTTGTGACCGACTGGGACCTGCACCGCACAGCTTAGTATGTAAATTATGCAAGTACAAATATCACTTGAGCTGCGTTAATATACAAAAATCATTCAAGGAGTTAACGGAAGAATATAAGTCAAATTGGCTGTGTCCATGCTGTCATAGTAAGATCCCCAAAACTGATAATACTAACACCCCAATTAGAGCGGTTCACCAGCAAACGACAGTTAGTGAACAAGAAAAATTATCGCAAAACGTAAACACAAAATATCTTCGTTGGAATCAGAATCGACAATATCTATACGTAGCATAGTGAGGGAAGAGTTAGAAAATATACTGGATAATTTTAAAATTAATATTTTAAATCAGTTTGATCTCAAGTTAAAGGAGTTAGTAGATAGTTTTAAACGAGTGTCTGATTCCTTGTCTGCAATTGAGAAACAGCAAGAAATTACTAAACAAGAAGTGCAATCTAACACCTCACAAATAAAGCTCTTAGAGTCTGAGAACGCATCATTACGATCTTCGATTGCAGAACTCAATTCCAGACTCACGCTAACAGAACAGCATTCTCGAGCTACTAATTTAGAAATACAAAACATTCCAGAGCATAAATCTTAGAATTTAATAACGATTGCTAAACAAATTGCTACCACCGTGAACTACAAATTAAATGAGTCACACATTCACGTATGCACAAGAGTCACCAAAGTAAGTAGAGATAGTCCACGTCCGCGGTCAGTTATTGTGAAATTTAGCTCGCCCAGAATCAGGGATGAATTTCTAGCAGCTTCGTTAAGATTCAATAAAAGAGCTAATAGTGTTTCTGAAAAGTTAAACTCATCTCATCTTGGACTTGGTGGAGAAAGAAAACTAGTATACATTCTTGAACATCTCTCACCTACGCAAAAAGCAATACACACAGCTGCTCGTCTCAAGGGTAAGGAATTAGGATTCAAATTCGTCTGGGTAAAGGGAGGAATAATTTTTATGCGTAAGACTGAAACATCCGATTATAAATTAATTAAGAGCATCCAGGAATTATCTCAACTACAATAATTTATTATCTTCGTTTTTAATATTTTTTAGTTAAATATATATTTTTTTTCTCTTTAGTTAATTTTGTATGTTAACAGATCACTTAAAAATCTACTATCAAAATGTAAGAGGGTTAAATACGAATTTGATAGAGGTACGTCAACAAATACTTAATAACGATTACGATATCTACATATTTACAGAAACATGGCTTAGTAGTGGATGCTTCGATTCCGAAATTTTTGTAAACGGCTATGCTGTGTATAGGCAGGATCGCGAGATGTGTTCGATTTCAAATGCAGGAAGAGGAGGGGGTGTACTGATAGCCGTATCGAAACAGCTAATATCAAAGCGAATCACTGAATGGGAAAGTAATTGCGAAGATCTATGGGTGGTAATTACAGTGCCAGACCTTTCGGGTAAAAATAGGATCTCGATAAGGTTGGGTGCCGTATATCTACCACCTCCAGTAACAGATAACACTATGAATATTTTTACTGACAAGGTAAGTTTTATCCTAGAATAGAGTGATGAATTCAAATACACATTAATTGCAGGGGACTTTAATATGAGCGGCATATCTTGGGAAGCTTACGCCAGCAAAGACCAGGACAACTGTCTTGTGCCATCTGGGTATAGAAGCCGTGAACTCTTATGCAAATTTGTAGATTTTATAACACTAAACGATATGAAACAATACAATTGTGTGACAAACATTCAAAATAAATTACTTGATTTAATTCTTTGCAATGAAGGAATATTAAATATTTCTGAATGCTTACATCCGGTAAGAAACATAGATAAATATCATCCAGCTCTTGACATCACAATGAAAATGGTTAAAATAAATAAAAAAATTTTGCTCCCCTCTAGACCTAATTTTCAGAACATGAATTAAATTCCTGTAACGATATTAATAACATGATTACAAAATTTTACGCTATTTTATACAATGCAATTAGATTACATATTCCAATGACTAAAATAAAAAACAATTCATACCCTATTTGGTTTTCTTCCCATTTACTATACTTACTAAACAAAAAGCATATTTATCATAAAAAATTTAAAAAATATAAAAATCCGCTAGATGAGATGGAGTTTATTTACTTAAGAGATGATTGTAACAAACTTATTAAGGAGTGCTACAATAATTATATTATTAGAATTGAGACCGAACTAGTAAAAAATTCTAATACATTTTGTCCTTACATAAAAAGCCTTCGAAGCAACTGCACATCATTTCCAGATACTATGATTTTAAATAATACTGAGTCATCAGAAGTAGAAAATATTTCTAATATGTTTGCTACACATTTTTCATCAGTGTTTGAGAAAGATATAAATAATAGTAATAGTTATGTCTGTAACCTGCCAGCTGGGATTGAAATATCCGACACAATCAACCTCATCCAATTTACTCAAGAGGAAGTAGAGAAAAAGCTGAAAAATTTAGATATTTATAAAAGTGTAGGGCCGGACGATATACATCCGTTGCTTCTAAAGAACTGTGCTGATATATTAGCTGTACCAATTGCCACTATATTTAACCATTCACTTCATTCAGGCAAATTTCCTGATAAATGGAAAGAAGCTAGGGTTATACCGTTACATAAAGCTGGCAAAAAAGACTTAATTACGAATTATCGACCAATATCCATTTTATCAGTATTGTCTAATCTATTGGAACAGGCATCTACAGAAATATATTACTGTGGATCAACATGGGTTTATGGCTAAAAGATCAACTAACACAAACTTAGTCCTATTCACATCGGAACTTAAAGAGGCGGTCGATCATAATACTCAAGTAGATGTTATTTATACCGACTTCTCAAAGACCTTTGACAAAGTCAACCATGCCATACTTATTAAAAAATTAGAAGCCTTTGGAATCTCCGGCAAACTGCTGCAGTGGTGTCGATCTTACCTTAATAGCCGCATTTCAAGAGTGGCAGTTTTAGGCAACCTTTCTAATGTATTTACTGCAACATCTGGCATTCCTCAGGGATCTACGCTCGGTCCCTTGTTCTTCAACGTTTTTATCAACGATATAACACATAAAATAAGAAATAGTAAAATCTATCTTTTCGCTGATGACCTCAAACTTCTGAAATAAATTACTAATACCAATGATATAAGATGCCTTCAAGATGATATAGATAGTGTTTATGATTGGTGCAAGGAAAATAAAATGTATCTTAATGTCTCTAAATGTCAGCACACACAGTTTACTAGAAAACGCCATAAATTGGAAACTAGTTATTCCATATCTATTTATATACTTAAAACTGTTAGTCCTGTTCGCGATCTTGGCGTTTTAATAGGATAGCTGAGCTTTTGAGACCACATAGATAAAATTATTACCGAAGCAAACAAAGCGTTAGGCTTTATCTTAAGATGTACCAAAAATTTTAAGAAACTAGACGCTGTAAGTTGGAATATTGCAGCACTGTGTGGTGTCCCAATTATAAAATACATGATGATAGAATTGAGAGAATTCAGAAACGATTTGTTCGTACTCTTGCATATCGATACAGAGCACCTATAACTACCAAACATATGAGGAGAAATTAAAGCACTTCAATCTCATAAAACTTACAGAACGTCGAGCTCATTTAGATTTAAAATTTTTACACAAAATAGTTAATGGATCTATCGATTACCGCCTTTGCTTAATAGACTAACATACAATGTCCCCGCCAAAATCCCGAGATATCCATGCAAATTGTTTAAGTCCAGGCTATCCAGAACTAATTTGGGTCGTTTTTCACCGTTGGTCCGCACTACCCGCTTGTACAGTGAATATGTTGGGAAGAATTCGGATATTGACATCCACTTCGATAGCATCGCTACTTTTATTGCAAAAATTAAAAATGTTGACTTACCTTTATCGTAACTATCGTGATTGACCTTTGTCTTGTTTTAAGTTACATAATTTTTATAGTGTTTTCATTACAGTAACAGGATAAAACGCATGATGTGGTTACTTATAAATGTGAGAACAGTTACCTATTGTACTATGTAACAAATAATTTGTATTTATCTGAGTTGGCTATATCTTACGTTAGTAATCCAATAAATAAAATTAAAAAAAATAAAGAAGAGGAAAACCTTCATTTACAGCGATAACGGAACGAATTTCAAAGTTGCCAACAAGGAACTTACACAGGCATGCATGGAATGTTATGACAGCATGAAAAATGAATACTTTAAGCAATATATTAATTGGAAGTTCATATCACCTGGAGCACCTCATATGGGAGGAGCCTAGGAAAGTTTAATAAGATCAATTAAAACTGATTTAATCGCAACTCTTAAGGAGAAGAGTCCTAAAGAAGAGATTTTGCATACGCTGCTTTTAGAAGCAGAGCACACAGTCAATTCGCGACCATTGGTTTTTTGGAGGGCTTGACACCTAATCATTTTCTTTTAGGACTTTCTAGTGGAGATAATCCACCTGGTTTATTTATGGATAAACATTTAGTCGGTCGGCCGAATTGGAAAGCGTCTCAGAGATTAGCAAACCATTTTTGGTCAAGATGGCTAAAGGAATATATGCCTATGTTGATACCTCGAACAGGTAGCGACAGTAGCAAGTTCATGGAGCCTAAGGTGGGCGATGTTGTTTTGATCGTAGAACATTCGCTACCACGTAATACACGGCCACAAGGTAAAGTGCATAGAAGGTTACCAGGAGAAGATGGTCACACTAGGGTCGTGGACGTCATCACGAAGACAGGCATTCTGAGGAGGCCTACATCTCTCTTAATAGTCCTGGTACCAGCGACGCTGCTCTTATAATGGTACTAGCGTACAATGGGGAGATTGTTAACGTCGTAAGCATAAAATTAGCATTTAAATCAATGTTTAGAAAGGCTAATCCCTGAACCTTAAGACAGTGTGTGAATGTGCGAATGTTATATGAATGTAGCGACGGATGAAAGAATTTTTGTTCAACTTAGAATAATGTGTTACGTAACAATCAATTACACAACACGAATCGAAATGCTAAATGATTAAAAAAATTAAATTTTATTAAAAATAATTAAAATAATTCGAAAAATTATTTATTAAAAGTTCCAACGGTTATCCACCGTTTCAAAAAGAAAGAGATAATATTATGTTACAGTAGTAGAGATTTATGTTAAGAAAAACAAGTATAGCCATTGCTAGAGCGAGAAGACGAGAACCTCTTATCAATTGACGTCATATCCTATAGATAAAAAGATGCGATTAAAGATTTATTTTCTGTTTAAGCTGTCTATTTGTTTAAGATAAATGTTAATTATGATAGACATGTGTAAATTGAACAATATTTGTTACTATAAGTTGTAATAAAGAATAATATTTAATATTTTAAGGTACACATGTATGATAATATGTAAATTACGTAATAATGCTTTATATTTTATTAATGTTGTGTAAAATGTATATGTTTTATTGTTTTTATTATGTAATCTTGTGTGTTCTTTTTGGAGAAACATAATTTTTGTATGTGTCTTTATGAAAAATAAAGTTATTTTGCCAAAAAGAGAAATGTAATAATAAAAAATACGCGCGAAATAGGAGGCTTTTTGCACACAGCCCGCTTTACGATATAGCTAGAAAAGTATACGCCTATGGAATTGTTCGCAATTTGTTCGATGTCTCATCAACGGCAAAGTTCGAAAATTTCTCCGGTTCAACAGTTATCACATTTCTCAAGAATTTCAAGAAAATTGCTGTTTTATTCCCAGTGTCGACCCTAAAAGTTTGGGAAAGTAAAGTTAATATACAGTCATGTAATATCTAGACCGGGACCGGGACCCGTAATCTCAGGCATCAACCACCTTTTAAGATTAAGCGTGTGTATTTCTGAAGTTGATGTTATCGAAGGATACGCCCACTGCGTTGTTTCGAACCCGAGGTAGTGTGGCTTAGGCAAGGGGATAGATCGACGAGTTAGAAACTGGTAGACTCGCCGGATTACTACAGTGACAACCAGCGTTAAGGGCCTTGGTTGATGGTCCTTCGGAGTGAAGGGTTCAGCGATTCAGAAACGCCCACGATTCTCTTTAGATACATACCTCATAAGTACATTAATTATCATATCACATCAGATCAAATTAAATTTAAACATTAAATCTGAGCTGACACTATATGCTCACTGTTAATTTACTCGTATTTTGGTTATTTGGCATTTGTTGTAATGTAAAGCTGGATTTTTTTGAAAAACATTGATTCTTTGAGGAGGATTCTGCAAGGCAAAAATAGTTTCTAAATCAGCTGCATTTCCCCATACAATTATGCTATGGAAATAACTGAAATAAACTAATCTAGCTGTTGCGACACTAGTGAGATCTCTAATCTTTTTTACAACATAAGCTGCAGAGCTTAGTCTGCTTGCTAGTTTAGATACATGGGAGCCCCACTGAAGCTTAGCGTCGAGAGTGATGCCAAGAAAAACAGAGGGTTCAACAGGACTCAGTTCTTTCCCATTTAAAAACACATTGATATTCGGATTTTTAACATTCGTTGTTGTAAATTTAATACATTTAGTTTTATTGCCGTTCAAATGTAGATTATTAATGTTAAAACAATGCAATAATTTTGATATAGCATTATTCACTTCGTCACATTTAAATGATTGATGTTTAAATTTAAAAATTAAGGAAGTATCATCAGAAAATAATACTACATTATGATTATCCCCTACAAGGGAAGGTGGTAAGTCATTAATGTGGGTGGGTGGGGGATGAGTCGCTCGCGTCCGTAGGCTTCGACCACCACGTGTCCCCCGGGTGATGCTAAACGAGAGACAAAGCCAAAAAAATAGACTCTGCTCCTCGCCGTATGGTAGCGGCGTAAAATCTACCACCACCCCTTGTTCGCACCATGAGTCAGGAAATAAAAGAAATGGCCCCGAGTTCCCGGCGCCCCTTTAATGGGGCAGGGGTGCGAAGAATCTCCGGGAGAAAAACCGGCGACGAGGTTCGCCACCCGTCACGTTCTGTCTCCCGGAGGGGCTAAAAGTGGATTACGGAAACCCGTCTGGCTACGCTGAGTGTATGTGGAGGAATGAATGATAAGATGAATGAAGTATGCGAAATGATGAATGACAGAGGAATAGATGTGTTATGTGTAAAAGAGGCGAAACGAAAGGGAAAGGATGCTACTGCACATGGCACGTATACCGCGTATTGGTCTGGTGTAGACGAGACCGAACGGGCATGCCAGGGAGTCGATTTCATCCTTTCAGAAAGAATGGGTCAATGTGTGAAAGAATATGAATGTGTAAGCCCGAGGCTGCTATGGATACGAATGAAAGTGGGCTTAAAGAAGCTGTTCCTGCTAGGGGTGTACGCCCAAGACATGTCTAAGCCCACTAACATCCGAGAGCAGTTTTGGGACATGGTAAGGATGGTGTTGACAAAATGTAAGGAAAATGAAAATATTATTATGTTAGGAGACTTTAATGGAAGGGTTGGGGTGAAGAGGTCTGGTTATGAAAGGATATTGGGAACGTTTGGTGATGAAAGTATAAATGAGAATGGTGAAGACCTGCTCACGGCTTGTGTGGAAAAGAACCTTTTTGTGACGAATACTTTTTTCGTCATAAGAAGATTCACATGTATACATGGGGAAGAGGTGATGATAGAAGCATGATAAATTTCGTAATTGTGGATGAAAGAATGAGAAGCGCAGTCGTAGATACAAGGGTTTACCGGGGGTCCAACGTAGGGACGGATCATTACTTG